GAAATTAGGGATTAATAAAGTACAACCATAACCACAATCATATAAACATAAATCTATTTTATAGCAATATATTGGGGGGGGGGGGGGACATTTTGAGCATATTTGAATATTGGGTGGGATGTGTGTCCCCCAATATATATTATATTATAATTATACATTTTGGCCTACGCTTCCACACTGGCAAGACGTTTTTGAAGAGGAGGCCACGATGGCATGGAGGAGGCCGCGATGGTGGGGAGGAGGCCGCAATGGTGTTGAGGAGACCACGATGGCATGGAGGAGGCCGTGATGGCAGGGAGGAGGCCGCGATGGCGGGAAGGAGGCCGTGATAGAGGGGAGGATGCCGTGATACACTCACTCATCTTACACTGACTCACTCACACATCATACACTGATTCACTCATCATACGCTGACTCACTCACATCATACACTCACACAACCACTGACCCATTCACTCATCATACAATGCTTCACTAATCATGCACTCATAATACGCTGACACACTCACACATCATACACTCACTCACACTACCACTGACTTACACATCATACACTCACTACCATTGACTCACTCACACATCATACACGGGGAGTGTCATGCTGACAGATATGGCTGCAAGTTTGTTTGTACATGTTATGTACATCGTTTATTGTTACATTTGAATCAAAGTTTATATAATTACTGTTGTTACATTGTATTTTATAGCTTTATTTTGGTGATTTCTAAAACATGGTTAAGCCATGTTTCTTGCGGAAGTGCGGAGTTGGCCTGATAACTTGAATCTCATAGTTTCATAGTTCCATTTATTTGGTATAGCCCTGTGAGCCATTCGGCTCTTGAATCGGGTGCAACCGCAACAAACAAAAACAAAAACATGAACAAGAAAACATCTTAAAGTGACTATGTGACTGTGCAACAGAAAATCCAGGAAAAAACATCAAAATATTCCTGAAATAGCACCGTACACCAACGCTGTGTGCAAAAATCCCAGTGGGATGCAAGTCAAACAACAACAACCACAAGACAACTAAGATTAAGGCCATCAATCTAATTCCGTACTACAATAAACAAAAACATGGCCAAACCAAAAAACTTTTCGAAATCACCAAAATAAAGCCATAAATGCAATGTAACAGTGATCATAGGGACTGTGACCAAATTTTTAACAATAAACTACATCAATAACATGTAACACCAAACCCTAGAGCCATAGCTGGCTGCATGAGTCACTCCACAAAAACAGGAGCATCAGTTGGAGTATCACATTTTTCAATGCACCTTTAAGATCAGCACACTAAATAAAAATACAGATAATACTTTGCAGCGGTCGAAACATTTTATTTTATTTTAGGCCACTGAATAGCAGTGGCAGCTATGGGTGTACAACTCCTATAGAGCAGTTTTGAGTGAAAATCTCATAGGTAGTGATTCAAGTTGCAGTTTATTGGCAATAGCATTCCAGACCCTGGGGGCATCAATAGCAAAGGCCCTTCCTCCAGTTTTTGTACGGCAATAGGGAATGTGAAGCTGGTAAATGAGCGAAGACTTGAGGTCAAATTTGTTATTTGAAACAGAGAGGAGATCCAGCAGGTAGTCTGCAGATTTTTTTGTAAGTACATTGTGAATAAATAAGATCTGGTGCACAAGCCGTCGAACATTAAGAGATGTTAAGTTTGACCCAATGTAGAGATCACAGTGGTGAGTCCTATGTGGGCAGTTCAATGCAAATCTTAAGGCTGAGTGATAGATGGAATCAAGCTTCTATAGTAACAGTACTTGGGGCTGATTTATACACGATATCACAGTAATCAAGTAGAGGCAGTATGGAAGCTTTTATCAATTCCAAACGGAACATAGGGGGGAAGCAGTGCTTGTGTCGATACAGAAAACCAATTTTGATTTTTGTCTTTTTACCAATATAATCAATGTGATCTTCAAAATTCAGTTTTGAATCCAGGATGACCCCAAGATACTTATAGATCTTGACTTGCTCTATTTGATAATTATTTAAGGAATGTAATTGGGGAAAAATAACTTCCTGCTTTAGTCCCGGTGAGAAGCATAGCACCTTGGTTTTGTAGGTATTCAGGACTAGTTTAAGAGCAACTAGCTGATGTTGTAGTTTGTTGAAATCACCCTGGAGCTTAGCAAACACGTCATCCGGAGAGTGGCCAGCAGTAATCAGTATCGCATCATCTGCAAAAATATTTACCCTGGAATGATCCAGGTCAGTGCCCAAGTCATTGACATAAAGAGAGAACAAGAGGGGGCCGAGGATGGAACCCTGTGGAACCCCTTTTGTTATCTTAACACTGTTTGACCTCCAACCATCTGTGAATACAGTTTGGGTGCGAGAAAAGAGGTATTTTTTACCATTTTACTGTGTTTTCGGAAAAACCGAGGCAACTTAGTTTACTAAGCAGGGTGTTGTGGTCTACTGTATTAAAAGCTTTGGACAGGTCAAGAAAAAGACAGGCACGGTACTGCTTATTATCAAGGCTACTGTAAATTTGATTCAGAGAGTCTAATGCAGCAGATGTGGTGCTGTATTTTTTTCGGAACCCAGATTGTTTTAGATGTAGTAGATTGTTAGTGGACAGGAAACTGCTAATTTGGTAGTTCAATAATTTTTCACAAATTTTCATCAATGGGGACAAAATTGAGATAGGTCGGTAGTTATTGGGATCATCTTTAGGGCCCCCTTTGTGAAGTGGACGGACATAGGAATGTTTCCATTCTAGAGGAACTGATGCTTCTTTGATGGACAGGTTGAAAATATGGGCTATAGGTTTGTATATTAGGTGACCAACAGTTAGCAGAGCAAAGACGGGAAAACTGTCTACCCCGGTAGAGGAGGACCCTTTGAGGTAGGAGAGTTGTTTCAGAACATTACTTTCGTGGACTGGCTGGAAACTAAATTCGTTTAATGTTTGGACAGGGGTGTAGGAAATTGCATGAGCAGGGGTGACTCCCAATACATTATCAAAAGATTACCAGCTTCAGAAAAATGAAGGTTAAAATTGTCAACTATTTTTTGGGGATCTGAAAAATATTCCCCATTTCGGTTAAGCTCAAGGGGCAGATTGTCTGTTTTGGATGCCTTTTCGATACATTTGATTGATTTCCAAAAAATCCTGGCATTTCCATGTGATTCCAGGAGAGTGGAGGAAAAGTAGGCATTTTTTGCATGCCGTATTTTTTTTACGCATCTATTCCTTAAAATCCTGTATTCTAGCCAGTCATTTACCAAATTACTTTGCTGAGCACATGCCCAAGCCTTGTCCCTAGTTTTCATGAGCTTTGTAATCAAAGGATCATACCATGGTGTGCGGTTGCCTTTAGTTTTAAATCTAACCAACGGAGCATGTTTGTTAAGAATTTGGAGAAACGTGTACCTGAAAGTCTCCCACGCCGTAGTCAGGTTGGGGATATCACAGACCTTGTCAATATCCGAGTGAAGCACAACATTAGTAAATGCCTGAGTGCTGAAGTGCCTCAAAGAGTGCTTCTCAACAATTTTAGGGGGGGCTTTGGGTCTGGCTGATGATCTCACCCCAAAAATGAAGGAGTGATCACTAAGGTTATTACCCAGAACACCAGTCAGTGCGAAATTGTGAGGGGCATTTGTCAATAGGACGCTCAAGCAGAGTTGACTGTCCCGGAATTTTTAGTTGGGTCTTGTGGGGACATTTATTAATTGAAACAGGTTAAATTCATCGGTAAAATTTGTGTCCACGGCCGGCGGGTTTAGCCAATTCCAATTTAGATCACCCACTAAAACTATTTCACCTTTAGGGAGGGGAATCTAAATTGTCTTATGGTTATATTCTTGGTTATTTCGGTAAAGTCACGTAGAAGGGAAACAATAAAATAATAAAAAATATAAAACAATAAAATTCTCACGACGTTTCGACTGCAACACAAGCAATCATCATCAGGTGTGAAAACCACAAAGTGTCTTATGGTTGTTATTGTTTGTCTTGCATCACACTGGGATTTTTGCACACAGCGTTGTAATACGGTGTTTTTTTTTTCTGGAAGATTTGCTGGTTTATCCAGGATGATTCTGTTACGCATTGTCGCTTTAAGATGTTTCTCTGTTCATATTTTGTTTGTAGCGGTTGTACCTGACTCAAGAGCCGCATGGCTCACAGGGCTGCACCTAATAAATGAAACTTGAAATATTATAATATATATATTGGGGGGGGGGGGGGATGTGTCCCCCCCAATATATATTATAATTACGGCCATGCCTCAAAGTGGCAAACACACCTAGCCTGGCACACGGATCGCCCGGGGGTGGACGTCAGCGCCACTTTTCTAGGGGCGAGAATTGTGGAGGATTGGCGGTGGAGGGGACAACGATGGGGTGGGGGCATCTTCCTTTGTGCAAGCGTCCTTTAACATCGAGACAATGCGGGAGAGACGTGGACGTGCCAGAGGATGGAGAGCGCTGAACACAACGCGGATTTTTTTTTATTTAAAGCTTTCGTGACTGCAGTAATTCATATTCTTAGTTTTTTTTTAGTTTTTTCGGTAACGTCAACGTGACTTTACCGAAAAAACTAAGAATATGAACAACGCGGATTGTCCACGCCCCCCCCACCCACCCGCCCCCCACACCCATCCACAGCCCCCTCCCCACCCCCACCCACCCCACCCCCACACCCCCCGCCCATCCCACCCACCGCCCACACCCACCGCCCCCTCCGCACCCACCCTCCACCCCACCCACCGCCCACCGCCCCCACCCCCACCCACCGCCCCCTCCCCACCCCCAAACCCCCCCGCCCACCCCCACCCACCCCCACCCCCCGCCCCACCCCCCCGCCCCCCCCCCACCCACCCCCACCACCCACACCCCCCACCCTCCCCCCACATCCACCCACCGCCCCCACCCACCGCCCCCCTCCCGACCGCCCCCACCCACCGCCCCCTCCCCATCCACCCCCGCCCCCCACCCCCCACCCCCCCGCCCCCCACCCCCCCTCCCCCCCCCCCCCCCCGCCCCCCGTCTTCTTCCGTCTTCCGAAAGAATCTTTTAAGCGTCGGCGCCCCGCGGATGAGGCCTACGCGAGTGACGCCTTCGGCCTTCGCGTGAAGTGAGTGGAAGCTTGGTTTAACGCGTAGCTTTTCGCGAGCGATATCGGTAGTTTATTTAGGGGGGGTTATGTCGCGTATTTATGCGGAATACGCGACATAACCCCCCACAAAAAGACCTATATTATGGGTGAGTGAAGCTTATAACAAGAACCTCTCTCCATTACCAATTTTTTTTATTGTTCTACATCTCAGCCGCATATATATTTTTTTAAACAATACCTCATTTGTGTTTTGTTCTCCCCCCCCCCGATGTGTTAAGTATATATTTCTAACGGAACTTAGACTTTCATTATGCAATTTTTCAGAGGGTTGGAGGTTTTTTTTTTAATAATTATTATTACGACGCCACACGAACCACGACACGATCGTCCCCGCTCGGCGTGTTGGGCGGAGGAAGGATGGATTTAGTGATCGCGGTGCTAACTGAGGCACATATAATTCACACTGTTGCCGCAATTGTACCAAACGTCGCGGTAAATACTCATTGTGATTATAATAATGTCGGTACGCGCCGCCGATGTGCTGTTTTTAACCTGAAAAAACCCTCCACCCCCCTCAGATACCATGGCGCAGCAGGGCTTGGCTCAGGCCTTGTGTGGGTTTATTTAATTTTTGTTGTTTGCCCAATGTCATGAGAAATGCATCCTCAAGTGAATGGTGCTTAAGGCTCGCACTGACCTCTGCCTTTCATCGTTCGCGATTAAAGAAAGAGGTGGGAAAACGAACGCTTTTGGTTGACGTATCTTTTCGGCAAAAATTGGCCTTAACCCCATAACTGGCTGTGAACTTGCAAGGCAGCGTTTGTGATTATTGGCACGCTTGGTACACGCGCGTATGGAGGGCATTGTTCGATTGTGCCACACCACCCACCCCCGTAGGCCATCTTAAAGGCACCTTAAAATAACATCTTATTTTAAAATAAATTATTTTTTTTAAATAAAGTCTTATTTTAAGCGGCCACCGGGCCTTGGCAGCCCCCTGAAGAATCAAAATGGCATTGATCTTTGAAGAAATTCGTCATTTCTGAGGATAGGCCTACGTATGTATATTGTACAGTATGTTGAGCTTCTTTCGCACCGTCCGTAGCCAACCGTGCTTATCGGAGGTGCGAACACCAGGTGATTGTAAAAATGTGCTAATTGTAAAAAAAATAAACGTTGATTCGTTGTATTTTAAGGTTAAGTCCCTTGGCATCCCTTAGAATAATGGCATTTCCTACTACGCCTCGACTGATTTCCTTCCTCATGGACTGAGTCCACAGTATTCGGTCACTCTGCATCAGGAAGTTCCCACCGGAGCCAAGTACCTTATTCGTGATATCTGCTAAGTTAGCAGTAGCCTTGATCACTTCCATAAACAAGAGACGGGCCACAATGACTGTTTCAGGGATGTAACACAACATGACATTTATTTATAGTTGTGCTGTAACGATTGCCAGTGGTGGCATGGCTGCGCCGCGAGAAATGCCCCATGGTTTCGGGAGGCTATTTTTTTTGGTTATCCAGTCGTGCATCGTGGCTGACGATGGCGAACCGTTGCAAGCGTTGCTGATCTACCATGTGCATTCGCTGGCAGATCAACATAAAATGGGCAAGAGCAAAGGTGGACGGAAGAAGGCCGTCGCAGTGGCACCCGTGGACTCTCCTAAGAGTGACTTCATTGTCGAGAAGGTGCTGGACCGACGGGTGGTCAAAGGCCGCGTGGAATATCTGCTCAAGTGGAAGGGCTTCAACGAGTAAGTGGTCAGAGGAACGGGGGGGGGGGGGGGAGCGGGGGGGGAGGTGGTGCATCACCAGTCAGCCCCAGTGCTGCCTTTGCCTGGCTGAGGCTTTCCATTGTCGTAATCGCTGCGTGCCGCCGTGTTTTTGTTGTGACGTTTATGATCGCACAGCTGGGCGCAGGTCCACGAAATCTCAGGGCGTCAATTGGCCAGCGACAAAACCCACGACGTGACAGTTGTACTAGATATGAGTTAACACGTTTTGTTGAATTGAACACGATTATTATAGGAGCTTTGGAAAAGAGACGATGGAAACGAATTCCAAAGTGGAGCAGTGCGAGAGACCTGCAGTGTGGTGAGTGCGAGTGTTGTTGTGACCTGCAAGTGTGGTGGTTGAACATGGTACAGATGAGATGAGACCGTCAGGCTGGTAGACAGGACTACTCAACATGGTGGAGGAGTCATAATAGATTTTTTAGGTCAGATTGCACAAGTAAAATGTGTGTCATGAAACCTGCTTCACCTGACAAGGCCAATGAATAAAGTTGTCACGTGAACAAACGTGCCAGATTATTACCTCTTCAGAACACTGGTGTTTTTGTGAGAATCTCACAACATTTAAAATTTGATTTGACATTTTACTGAGTTATAACCAGCATCATCAGGCTTTTGCTAGAAATGTGAAAATGTGTGATGCCATCAATGTGCACCCACAAGAGATACTTAAGAGGTTCGTGTATTTGTGTAAATTATTTTTCTTTAGCTTCCAGTAAATTACGTTGATGTTCTTCTGGTGTTCATTTTTGCTATTTTTTTTTTGACTGATCTGGTCAGTATTTAATTTATCATGTGCAACTAATCCGGTAAACTCCTGTTGTTCGTTTTGGAAGTTCATTCTTGGTACTGACTAAGATTTGTTTTATTTTGTGTACTGTGCCAGAATAAAATAAGACCAGGAGAACATCAAACACAATTAGTTGGCAGTGGCGGAACATGCTTGCCAACAAAGGACATTCAGGTTGATGTTCTTTACCGTTATTATTGGCCAAGACTAATTAGACACCGTTAAAATAGAGAGAAATCAAATGAACTTCAACGAGTGCAGCTTGGAAGCACACAACATTAAGTAAACACATTACAACCTTGATAAAATGTATTTACATTGATACAACCACATTATTATTTTAAGATTACTACCCATTTAGTATTACCTATTTGTGTATGAGCTTATTTTGCACCATACCTTGCCAACTATGCTAATCGGAGGTGTGGGGGAAGGACGACAAACTAAACACACCTGCATATCAAATCTGGGAGTGAAGGAAATAAGTTATTTAAAAGTGATGTATAAGCATATCAATGTGTATATTATGTTAACACATCTCACTTGATTTATTTATTATAATCTACCCATTTAGTACGATTAATTCACTATTATGTCATCACGTAAATATTATTACCATATCTAACATTTGTTGCAAGCTAAAATAAATGTTCATGTGACTGCATTCAACTCTATCACTTGCCGACACTCTATGCTCCCTTGTGTATTAATCCATGACATCCCACCCCCTGGTTAAGGCCCAAGACTGGAGGACATTTTAATCATTCTCGCAAATGGCTGATGATGCCGGTTGCAACTCAGCTTAACGTCTTTCATGTTTATTAAATGTTGTGAGATTTCCCACCAACACACCGTTATGCTGAAGCAGTAATAAATTCCAACGTTTGTTCACATGCCAATTTCATGAATTTGCTGTTTCGGGTGGAGGAGTGTTTACGACACACATTTTGCTGACACAATCTGACCCACAAATCGGTTCTAGATCGTACTATTGGTCGCGGTAGCCTACACGTTTTAAATGGATGGAGGAAATAATTAGTGAAGTTCTGAGGAATAGTAACCTTAATATTTAGTGATAGAAGAGTGATCAGGACGTGACTGACTGCTGGTGAGCGGGTGATTGGCATGAATCAGTAAGTGCTGGATTATCAATCAACACGACAGCTTTCAAAATGAACTTTGTGAATAACAGAGACCTTAATATGCAATATTGTATAAACATTGCGCATGGCTAATTTTCGTTGTCATGTTTTAACTTATGGCATATTTTATTTAAATCTCAATGCAAAATGTTAACAAAATAGTAAATTGGTTCTGTTTTACTCTTTTTATTCCTCACAACAGCAGCAATGACAACACCTGGGAGCCTGAGGACAACCTGGAATGCCCGGAGCTGATCAATGTCTTTCTGGAAAAGCAGCGGCAAGCCAAAGAGCTGCTAATCCAAGCAGACCGAAACAAGGGAAAGAGAAAATCTGAAGATAAAGACAGTGATGACACAAAGAAGATAAAAACAGAAGTGAGTGGATGTAAATGTCAAGCTATATATATATTTTTTAAGCATTGTGAGTGACGAATACTTAACCCTAAATGTTTATCCAATCATATAACAAATGTTATGAGTCTTTATTTAGACTGGAGGAATCTGATGATCTATCAGATATTTTTCACAGATGTCCAGGAACGTTCATCCATTCGCAGAACATCCTTGGGATGCGCTTGCCTATATATTCCAATCGCAGACTATAGTGGTTTTTCAATTGCCGCTGTTTTAGCTTGCCGTTGGTGAAGGCTGACACAATAGTTTTTTTGTAGTGTTAGTGGTCAGAGGTTATGTTTTGGGACGGTTGAACCTAAGACCACTTTCCTTGCCCCGCATCTGCATGGACAATAGTCTTGGCCATGACCATAATATCTTCTTTGGTTCTTTCGGTAAAGTCACATAGAATGGGAATAAAATAATAAAATAAAATAATAAAATTCTCACGACATTTCGCCCACAACACAAGAAGGCCACTTGTGTTGTGGCTGAAACGTCGTGAGAATTTTATTGTTTTATTTTATTATTTTATTCTCATTCTACATGACTTTACCGAAAGAACCAAAGAAGATGAATCCTTGCAGTCACGAAAGCTTTAAATCGAAACATGACCATAATACTTTTAGGGTTTTGTATTTAAGTTACATTAATATACAATGGATAGGTATTTAAAGGGTATATTTATGTAGATATACAAGGGAAATTAATTTTTAGTTCTGGAAATGTTAATATAAATTCACACAATTTTAAGTATAAAAAGGAGCATCAGAAAATATAGCAATGACATGTAAAAACAGTGCTGTAATTGTGTTGTTAATGTTATGTGTGTATGTATGCTGCTGTACATCTCAGCATTGTGCTTAGCCTGCTGTGGGTGATTGTGTCTTTTCATTGCAACAAGCCGAAGGGCTTCGATCGTGGTCTGGAGCCAGAAAAGATTATTGGGGCCACAGACTCCTCAGGAGAGCTGAGATTCATGATTAAATGGTGAGTTGCTTTCCTACATCTTTAGATATGGCTGCAGTTTTTTTGTCGTACGTGTTATGTATTTCGTTTGTTGTTAAATTTAAATTCACAGTTCCTATGATTATTGTTGTTACATTGTTTTTACAGCTTTATTTTGGTGATTCGAAAACATGGTTAATATAAATTGTCTTGTGATTGTTGTTGTTGGCTTGCACCACATTGATTTTTGCACACAGCGTTTTAATACGTTTTTTTGTGTGGAATATTTGCTGGTTTATTCCGGGATGTTTCTGTTACGCGTTGTCGCTTTAAGATGTTCTGTGTTCAAATTTTGTTTGTTGCGGTTGCACCCGACTTAAGAGCCGCATGGCTCACAGGGCTACACCTAATAAATTAAACTTGAATCGGGGGCAACTACCCTGGGCCGCCCCGCGCTTCGATGTCACGGTTTCAAATGTGATACTTCCGGTTTTCTTTGAAGGCATCGAGGGGGGGGCCCCCCCCACAGAGTGTGATTTGTCCCAGGCCCTGCACCATGGCTGAGAATATTATTGTGTTATTTTATTTTATCAATTTATTATTTTATTCTCATTCTACGTGACTTTACCGAAAGAACCGAAGAAGATGAATCATTGCAGTCACGAAAGCTTTAAATCGAAACTTGGCCCTTTTTTGTCATGTTTGTACAATTAAGTGCATGGAACAAATGTGTTGCGTAAAAAAACATTCTTCAATCATATTTGTATCTTAAGCAACCCACCAGAATATCGAACTATTATACGTTTACTAATCGTAATGCCGAGCAAAAGTCAGACGATTGCATTGACGGCCGTTTTAACTTTTGAATTGTGTCGTCGCGTAATCACCGTTATTGACCTGACCTTGCGCGTTATTTTTGTTTTGTCCACGACAGGAAGGGCTGTAACGATGCCGACTTGGTCCCAGCCCGGGAGGCCAATTTGAAGTGCCCCCAGGCAGTGATCGCTTTCTACGAGAAGCGGCTCACCTGGAGCGCGGCCGACAATGATAAAGCCTAGGGGGGCGGGGTGGGGGGGGGATGAGCGTTGTGACCTGTTGCGAGAGAGCCACCTTCTGTGTTGGCATCAAATTCCACCTTTCTTGTTTGATTCGCTCTTCGTTATTTGTTCTGTTATGAGCATTGCACTAAACTCCACCAACAAACGTGTAGTTTAGCCCTCAGGTGCTGTACGCAGAATTATTTAATGTGTTGCTTATGGTATCTTACTAGGTCATTCAATAATTCATACATTGTACACTGGGAGAGATACAGCAAGTTGGTAGTCCACAAGCACGCACGACAAAATATGATGACAGATGTTAATTTTACTGGGTCATTTCACTGGCCAGTGTTTACTATTTTGTGCACTCAGGAACGTTATTAAATACCTGACCACAATTAGTCTTGTTTGCTGTCATCCATTTTATATTACATTCCAAAAAAATAAATGCACTTTTATTGCAAAGAGTGTTTTTGGAAGTTTAATATTTAATTCATTTCTTTGTTGTAAATGCAATTGTCTGCAGTGTTTGGGCAACTTAACAAAACTTTGGGTACTCAGGAACTGCATAAAAAATATAGAATTCATATTTTATTTAGTTTGTCAGCATCACATAATCAAACATATAATTGTTCATTTTATTCCTGAATCTTTTGAGCTGCATAATATAAATGTTACTGTTTTTATTGTAGAGCAATGGACAAAAGGGCATTGCTGGAAATAAAACATTCTCGATGAATTAATAACATACAAGTTGTGCAAGCGCAGAAAATCTTTTAACATTTAAAATAGGAAACATGCAAACTGTTGCAAATAGTTTTAAAAGGAATACAGATTTACAAGCAGGTAGGGTAAACTCATTTAAAATGTGTGTAAAATATTCTTGGCAATGTGACAAAACATTTAATGATAATACGACTTGGGGGTAGGTTTGTACAGTAATAACCCGGTTTACATCTGGGATGCATCCCCGAGAGGTGCGACGACGAAAATCACAAGCGATTTTCAGTGCAGGAGGTGGAGGCAAAGGCTGAAGAGATCGATCAAGATAAGAGATGGATGATGATGATGCTGTCACGTGATGTAAATGCGGGTTGAGGCAACGCAAACCCATGTAGCGGTGTTAACAACGTAACGACTTATTCGTTCTTTCGCTAAAGTCGCGTAGATAGAAAAATAATAAATATGAAGTGAAATAAAATTGAATACAAAACTAATGTAGGCTGTGGCTTGGTTCTAATCGGAGCGAGTGTACTTGGCAGTCTATTATGTAGACTAGCAATGGTTATTAAGCTGGGTGAATGTACTGGCAGTCTATAATGTAGACTGTAGCCTGGTTCTTAACCTCGGTGAGTGTACTGGCAGTCTATAATGTAGACTTATTCTGGTACTTTCGGTAATAAAAAAATGAATGAAAATCTTTAATTTTTTATTACCGAAAACCAGAATAAGTCTAGCGCTGGTTCAGTTTAACCATTGCTGCAGTCTACATTATAGGCTGCCAGGACACTCCGATTAGAACCAAGCTCCAGTCTACATGAGTGTTTTCTTTAATTTTATTTTGATTCACTTTTAAGATTTTTTTTCTATCTACCAAATGAACCAAGAATATGAATTCCTGCAGTCACAAAAGTAACGACGCAAAAGGGGGAGATGTAAATCAAGGTATTGCTGTATATACGATACAAAAACATGAGCCATATACTGTTAAGAGCGTACAATGAAGGTCCGGTGTTGACTTGAAAAGTTCTGGGATCTGTGGAAGAGGTGAGGCGCCTTTCTCGCTGTGCGTTACCGTCTAATGTAATGTACTTGACCAAGTGGAAAATACTACGTTTTGGTTTATTCTATTCAAATCAATTTTATTGCATATGATGTATTGATTAAAAAAAAACATTTTCTTTGTGTTTTGAAAAGAATTTTCGATGCTAAATAAAAGCATCTTTTCACACTTGTGCCTGGTCCAAGTATATGTTGTACTGATGCATGCAACTCAACATATGAGTACAGCTTTACCTTGCTTCTTTGTGGGTTCGGTTGGTGCAATTTCGCGCTGTATAATGCTGCCCCTTTCCACCCAAAATGCGCTATTGCATGTGATGTGAATTTTCTCTGCATCCGGATATGCGATCGGACGTGGTACAACATTGTCTGTACCGTTTACGCGACTTTGTAAGCATCCGTCTCGTGCGATTTCACTTTGTGCAGCCTTTTTTTTTCTTCGGAACGCACCTCCGATCAGCACGGTTGGCTGTGTATGGTGCGAAAGAAGTTATACACATACAACTGCATGAAGCCGGGGAAACCTGTATATCACAATGATGTACTTTAAAGCATTTTCAAAGAACCAGCTCTGCATTTCAGATATAACCCACCTCTGATAGTATTTCACTGCGAGTGTTTATGACTGCGTTTTTCCTGCTCTTGATGGGTCGATATTCTCCATCCCCCCGCTTATTCATGTCCAGGGGCCATCTCCACGTCTAACGTTGCAGATCTTCGCTTCCCGGTTTTCTCACTTTGAACCACCTCAAGGGCTTACCTCCCACGTCTGCGCCCTGGTCTTGCCGCAATCGTCTCCCCTTTTGCGAGTTTTCTCTCTCGCACGGTGTGTGGCTTGGCCATTTTGGGTCGGTACCATTCTTGCATTAATCCGACATCTCCATTGCTGACCAGACACGGGTCTTGTCATCCTCGAGATCCATCTCGCCATCCTTATAGAGTCCTACATTTGCACTGTCATTGAAATCATTGAATCGCTGAAGGGGGAGGGTAACAATGTACATGCCCAGAAGCAGTGGCGTTGCGTGTTTTGCATAGATAGGCCTCTGAAAGGAATTAAGTTGTGGCCTGTCCCAAAGTCGTCCCTCTTGGTGGCCCCAAGCGCTTTGGGCTCCCACCGACCCTTGGCTTGGCCTCCGCACTGGGCAGCCACGTCACTTGCCTGGAGATGTTGGCCTTGACAAGAGCGGCAATTGTTTTAACAACTGTATTAAACCGTCGGACATTTGTACGTACAATTTCCTGCTCAAGCCTACGATGACCTTCCCCCACCGCACCTCCGACTAGCACGGTTGGCTATGTAAGACAGTGATATGGTGACGACTTGGGGAATCCTTAATTCAACAGTGGAGAGATGGTTTATGGTAATTTACAATTGCGTACAAATACAACACGCACAATACACCTGCCATCTTTGTATGTGTACACACGTGTTTTTCACTAAGTATAGCTGTATATGCACAAGTGTATATTGTGTTGAAAAGTACATCAATTAATGCATACTTTAGATGGCGGTCTAGGTGATGTCATCCCCATAAACGGAGTGTATGTGAAACGTGTTTAAGATGAATTCACACGTTGATTTAAAATAAATATGTTGGCAAGGTAAGATACAAGGTGGAGAACAGGTTTTTTTTTGCCAATGTGGAATTTGAGGTAAAACAGGTTTTCGTTTATATCCCGAAGTGTAAAGGTTAATATATATAATTAACTGCACACCAGTTTCTTTATATTCAGAGTTGTGGGGAAAAGCCAGAGATGAGTGGCAAGGCAGCCAATCAGAATTTGCACGACCAACGTTGGCCCTGAACTGCTATGATTATCCACCTTCCACGTGGCCATGGAGGAAACCCACGTGTACGAACGAGGAGTGGGGGCAGTGCCGGATCATCATCGTAAAAGTAGCAAATGCTACGGGACCCGCACTAAATGCTTTCAAGCTATCAATTCCGGTTCAGAGATTCTGCGCTTGCTCTATTATTATAGTACTATACCGCCTTCAACTTTTTTGAACGACTGGGTGTTCAAGGTTAGCGATTTGTCGTATTATCTGGCTGTATAGCAAATGAAAAAATACAATTACTTTACAGTGCAAGTTTTAAAAAATGATGGTGTTTTAATATATATTTTTTTATTTCGAGCTTAATCCGGCACTTGTGAGGGTTGGGTCAACACTCGATTCCACGCACAAGGAACAGATGATGATGATGGGAGTCCACATTTGTTGCTGGGAAGCAAGGGCATGGCACCTTGACGCCCACCGTGGGTTTGACAACATCTGCGTGCGGTGAATCACTAACCCCTCCGCAGCCACCGCCCGGAGAGAGAGGCGATTGGCAACAAATCGATTTCAGTCGGCTTTGAATGGCAATGCGCTGCTGCGCTCAATCGCGTCGTTTCCTTTGCAAGTTGCAGTCGCCCTGATGCTAAACGTGACGTGCACACACCTATACCACTCATTGGTTCTTTCGGTAAAGTCACGTATGTAGGAATAACGTAAATATTTTAAATAAATCACAAATAAGATTAAAATAAATCACGACGTTTCGAACGCAACACAAGCGTTCATCATCAGGCGGATATGGGGCAAAACGCATAGCGAGGGAACACGCAGAGGGACATCACACACAGAGCACACAGAGGGACATCACACACAGAAGGACATCACACACAGAGGGACATCACACACAGGACATCACACACAGAGAGACATCACACACAGAGAAACATCACACACAGAGGGACATCACACAGAGAGACATCACACACTGAGCAGACAGAAGGACATCACACACAGAGGGACATCACACACACAGAGACATCACACACAGAGGGACATCACACACAGAGAAACATCACACACAGAGAGAGACATCACACACAGAGAGACATCACACAGAGAGAGAGACATCACACACAGAAGGACATCACACACAGAGAGACATCACACACAGAGGGACATCACACAGAAGGACATCACACACAGAGGGACATCACACACAGGACATCACACACAGAGGGACATCACACACAGAGAAACATCACACAGAAACATCACACACAGAGGGACATCACACACAGAGACATCACACACAGAGAAACATCACACACAGAGGGACATCACACAGAGGGACATCACACACAGAGAGACATCACACACAGAGAGACATCACACATAGAGGGACATCACACAGAGAAACATCACACACAGAGGGACATCACACAGAGAGACATCACACACAGAGGGACATCACACACAGATGGACATCACACACAGAGAGAGGCATCACACACAGAGGGAGACATCACACAGAGAGAGACATCACACACAGAGAGAGACATCACACACAGAGGGACATCACACACACACACAGAGACATCACACAGAGAAAGAGACATCACACACACAGAGAGACATCACACACAGAGAGAGACATCACACAGAGAGGGACATCACACAGAGAGAGAGACATCACACACAGAGAGAGACATCACACAGAGAGAGAGACATCACACACAAAGACATCACACACAGAGAGAGACATCACACACAGAGAGAGACATCACACACACACAGAGACATCACACACACAGAGGGAGACATCAAACACAGAGAGGGACATCACACACAGAGAGAGACATCACACACAGAGAGACATCACACACAGAGAGAGACATCACACACAGAGAGAGACATCACACACAGAGAGAGACATCACACAGAGAGAGAGAGACATCACACACAGAGAGAGACATCACACACAGAGAGAGACATCACACACAGAGAGAGACATCACACACAGAGAGAGACATCACACACAGAGAGAGACATCACACACAGAGAGAGAGACATCACACAGTGCACACAGAGAGACATCACACACACAGACATCACACACAGAGAGAGACATCACACACAGAGAGACATCACACACACAGAGAGACATCACACACACAGAGAGACATCACACACACAGAGAGACATCACACAGTGCACACAGAGAGACATCACACACAGAGGGACATCACACAGTGCACACAGAGGGACATCACACACAGAGAGAGACATCACACACAGAGAGACATCACACACAAAGAGACATCACACACAGAGAGAGGCATCACACACACAGACATCACACACTGAGAGAGACATCACACACACAGAGGGACATCACACACAAAGAGACATCACACAGAGAGAGACATCACACACAGAGTGCACACACAGAGAGACATCACACACAGAGAGAGACATCACACAGAGTGCACACAGAGAACGGCAAACTGCACGGAGGCAAACACAGCAAGAAGATGGGAGAGGCCAACTCAACAAACCTTGGAAACTTAACGCGATCCAAACCAGTCGGCACTAACCTGGTCGACCACGTATTTCAAAAGACTGCTCAATTGTGTGTTCGTCTTCTTATTTTAATTGTATTTGTAATTCATTTAAATTGTATTTTATTTCTACATACGTGCACACACCTGTTCGTCACGCAATCGACCACTGCTGGCCCCATTACTGTGGTCCGATCAGCACTTTTGGCTCCGTACGCGTGCCACACTGAAGGTCAACACACACACAATGTACAAAACCCGTCCACCGGAGGTTCGGAACGCTGTGCATCGAGCAACTCCTCTGACGACCCCGAATGGGTTTCCAAAATCGACACGGTTACATTCAGCCGGTTGCTTCTCTCGAACACGACGCAAAAGCATTGGCTTGACTGCCAACATTCCTCTGATGCTGTCAGTGTGACACGGAGAGCCCTGTACCCCCCACCATCAGTACCGGATTAAGCTCGTGCCGGGGCCTGTAGCATATGTTATAAGGGGCCCTAAATAAAATTAAAAATAAAAACACGTAAATATTAAAACACAATTTTTTTTCATTCTAGATTTGAAGTTTTCGTGACTGCAAAGGATCCATATTCTTTGGTTCTTTCGGTGAAGTCACGTAGTTGGGAAAAATAATAAAAAATAAAATAAATAAATGTATTTTATTTTTTCTTAAAATGCAATTACTTTACTATGCAAGTAAAACAATTTCTCTGGTTCTTTCGGTAAAGTCACGTAAAAAAAGCACGTTTTATTAATTATTTTTTTCATTTGCTATGCAGCTAGATAATACGACAAATCGCTAACCTTAAACACCCAGTCGTTCGTAAAGTTGAAGGTGGTCTAGTACTATAGTAACAGAGCAAGCGCAGAATTCATAGCTTGAAAGCATTAGCGCGGGGCCCTTAAAAGTGTGGGGCCCGTAGCTACATGTGTAGGTACTTTTGCTACTTGGATAATCCGGCACTGCCCACCAAAGTTTTACTTTAAGTGACATTGAGACTGTACCCACCTTGACGGTTTGTTTGGGGAACAATATCTGTTTGTAAAAAAATTAGTCAAAGAGCAATTCCAGATTTTCATCAAAAGTTTTAAAGGCACTGCGGTGTATAGGTACAATATCTAAATACAACAATATATAACATGCAACGTGTCGGGTAAGCAAGACGCAGCCCCTCGTTTTAGGCATTGATCCTTATAATTATATTCATAACGTGATTAATAATTTAGTACATTAAGTATTAGGGCGATTTTTTATTTAAAGCTTTCGTGACTGCAGTAATTCATATTCTTAGCTCTTTCGGTAAAGTCACATTGAAGGGAAACAATAAAATAATAATATATATATAAAACAATAAAAATTCTCACGACGTTTCGACCTGATGATGACCGTTTGCGTTATGGTCGAAACGTCGTAAGAATTTTTATTGTTTTATATATATTTTATTATTTTATTGTTTCCCTTCAACGTGATTTTACCGAAAGAGCTAAGAATATTAGGGCGATTGTTATGGACTATCGTGCCTTCTCACAGGTGCCGTTTCATAAGTCTGCAGTACGCTCGCAGTCGGGACAAATGTTGTTACTTTTGATAACAAATTGAGTAATTTGCAGATAATTTTCAAATTTTCCAAAAGTATGTTGAACTTCTTTCGCACCGGACGTAGACGACCGTGCTAGTCCGAGGTGTGGGGGAAAGACAACAAACTAAACACAAAAAGCAGTTCTAAAGAAATGGCCTACTCTTGTGAATTACGTTACAGGATCCGCAGTAACGCGGACGGTGTGTATTTGTACAGTTGATATTGTACACACACACAGTATTAATAACCAGGGAAGCCTGCCAGATTAATACCACAAACCTCGCAAAACGTGGCGAACGCACTATCGCTGGGCCATATCACGGTTCTGGGCAGACAGTCCATGTGCAATGGAGGACCATTTCCCAAGACGTCACGTTATATATTTTTTTTCTTTGAGAAATGTTGACGTAAAGCTTTCGTGACTGCAGGAATTCATATTCTTTGGGGTCTTTCGGTAAAGTCAAGGAAATAGGTTCAAAGAAAAGAACAAAAAAACTACGACGTTTCGATCGCAACACAAGCGGTCGTCTTCAGGAAAAGGGGGGTTAGCTTCCAATGCAAACTGTTTATCAGGTGTTAATAAAAAATTAAAGCTTTCGTGACTGCGTAATAGATTAGAATGTTAATGAGAGATTGGTATGTTAATGAGAGATTGGCATGTCACTGATAGATTAGTATGTTAATGAGAGATTAGTATATTAACGAGAGATTAGCATGTTAATTATTGATTAGAATGTTAATGAGAGATTAGCATGTTAAAGAGAGATTAGAATGTTAATGTGCGTACTCATTGGTGACTTTACCGAAAAAACCGATGAGTAGTGTTTATCAGGTGTTTGAAATGGGCGTAGCCCAAATGTCAGCAGCCAATGAAAATGTAAGTGGTGGGCAGCCAACCTGAAGGTGGTTGGTTTTCTACCAATCAAAGGGCTGCCAGGTGAAAATTAGCATGTTAATGAGAGATTAGCATGTTAATGAGAGATTCGCATGTTAATGAGAGATTAGTATGTTAATAATAGATTAGTATGTTAATGTGATATTAGTATGTTAATGAGGGATTAGCATGTTAATGAGAGATTAGTATGTTAATGAGAGATCAGCATGTTAATGATAGATTAGTATGTTAATGAGAGATTGGTATGTTAATGAGAGATTAGCATGTCAATGAGAGATTAGTATGTTAATGAGAGATTGGTATGTTAATGATAGATTAGTATGTCAATGATAGATTGGTAAGTTAATGAGATATTAGCATGTTAATGAGAGATTAGCATGTTAATAAGAGATTGCTATGTTAATGAGAGATTGGCGTGTTAATGAGAGATTAGTATGTTAATGCGAGATTAGTATGTTAATGAGAGATTGGTATGTTAATGATAGATTAGTATGTTAATGAGATATTAGCATATTAATGAGAGATTAGTATGTTAATGAGAGATTAGCATATTAATGAAAGATTAGTATGTTAATGACAGATTGGTATGTTAATGATAGATTAGTATGTTAATGAGAGATTAGCATGTTAATAAGAGATTGATATGTTAATGAGAGATGGGCATGTTAATGAGAGATTAGTATGTTAATGAGAGATTAGTATGTTAATGAGAGATTAGCATATTAATGATAGATTAGTATGTTAATGAGAGATTAGCATATTAATGATAGATTAGTATGTTAATGAGAGATTGGTATGTTAATGATAGATTAGAATGTTAATGAGAGATTGGTATGTTAATGAGAGATTGGCATGTCACTGATAGATTAGTATGTTAATGAGAGATTAGCATGTTAATGATAGATTAGAATATTAATGATAGATTAGTATGTTAATGATAGATTAGTATGTTAATGATAGATTAGAATGTTAACGAGAGATTGGTATGTTAATGAGATATTGGCATGTCACTGATAGATTAGTATGTTAATGAGAGATTAGTATGTTTACGAGAGATTAGCATGTTAATTATTGATTAGAATGTTAATGAGAGATTAGCATGTTAAAGAGAGATTAGAATGTTAATGTGAGATCGCAGAGCCGCAACCAAGCGGTCGGCGTGCGAAGTGACTGTACGATTGTGAACCCCGTGAAAGCGCAAGTTTGAAATGGGCGTAAAGCACAACTAGCATGGGAAGGTGGTAGCATGGGAAGATCATAGCCAATTATGACTTAAACTGGTTGATAACGTCCTTCCAATTCACACGAGCACGGCCACTTGCGTTGCAGCTCTGCGATCTGCCATAAACATGCTAATCTATTATTAACATGCTAATATTTTTATTAACATACTAATCTCTCATTAACATGCTAATCTCTCATTAACATGCTAATCTCTCATTAACATGCTAATTTTCACCTGGCAGCGCTTTGATTGGTGGAAAACCAACCACCTTCAGGTTGGCTGCCCACCGCTTACGTTTTCATTGGCTGCTGACATTTGGGCTAGGCCCATTTCAAACCCCTTATAAGCAGTTTGCATTGGAAACTAACCCCCCTTTTCCTGAAGACAACCGCTTGTGTTGCGATCGAAACGTCGTAGTTTAATTTTATTTATTATTTGAAACCTATCTATGTGACTTGACCGAAAGACCCAAAAATATGACTTCCAGCAGTCACGAAAGCTTTATGTCAAGATTTAGGTTCAAATTAATGAAAATAAAACAACAACAAAAACTACGTTTTTTTTTTATTAATTTGAACCTATCTACGTGACTTTACCGAAAGACTCAAAGAGTGAGTTGTGTTATTAACAGACTAGGTTGTTCGAGGATAGGCGCCCCCAACAGACTGCTCAAGTAAATCCTTACGATCCACTCGCACAGCCTTCATCTAACAGTGGATTTAAGCACCAACAAAACTACAGTACTAATGTAATGAGAACCGTGTGTATATGTCCATACGTAATAGATATGTGTGTGTAGTGCACGTGTGTTTCACCGTCAAAGGTATTGTTGAAAAGTATTATTGTAGAGTACTGTAAAAAAAGAACGCGAACGGCTTTGCTTTACTTGAGGACTTTAAATAAGTCGAATAAGAGGCGGTTTTCACTTAAAACTTTCACTCTACGTAACCTTTTTTTGACGATCCCGCGATGTGACGTTAATGCGAATGAATGAAAATGTATTTAATCTTTAGTTGTGATATCTACATTCACTTCTAAGAGGTATGACTTATTAATCACTGAAACAACTGTTTGCTCGCGGTCACGTGACGCACTTCAACCAATCCGTGCCGCGTTAATCATACAGTGACAGAATGACAGACCTGGGTGTTTATATATTTGTGTTGAGTTTGTGTTATTTGTGCTTGTGCACCACTTCCAATGCAGTATCACAATGTTTTGTTATCCAAGTAGAAGTATGTTAGTCCCTGTTCTCTGCTCTGAAGATTGAATAGCCCAAAACCCTAGCGTATTGTTATTTTCTGCTGTAAAAGGTGGTATTCATGATTAACATTGTGCATTTTTTTCAATTTTGGATTGCTCACCACTGGCCCATGAAGTTATTAAATGATTTATAAAAAAATATAGGATATAAAACGTCAATAGATATAAACAGCTGTAATATGTACACATGGAAATATAATTGTGCAGAATGAAAACACTCAGTAGGTCGTGTACAACTTTTTAAAACATGTATTAAAAACAAATGTACAAAAAGTGACAATGATTGTAGTACACATCCTTTCGGCTTGTTCTAAACTCCAATAAATAATACAGAACATGTTCTTAATTCACACATCTTATTTTGCACAAATCACAACAAACCAAAACGTTCACGAAAGCCCTTCCATTGACGCACTAACCATCGTTGTGCCAACCATTATATTTAGCGGTTTCTCTCTTTTTTTGTACAAATTTCGTTTTTAAATACGAATACCTCGTAAATATACATCACAATATCAATGAAATGGGATCCCATCTGACAAACCAAGTCAATGAAATTGAACAACAAATATGAACATCAATAAACCGCAAATATAATGTGGTACACAGTATTTAGCAACTATTTACGAAATGGTTAATAGATGCTTGGATTGAACGGAATTCGACTGGGGAGGATTAAAAATGAATGATTACATGTCTGATAACTCAAGGAAGCACACTTGCTTGGTTACCCATCATAAGATTCGTGAGAACAAAAAAAATTCAAGGTCTTGAAGATCTTTAATTAAATAGCGACAAATCATAGTGCGAGACGTTGACATTTAGACGACGCTGCTTCTGTCTCCGCAGTATTTTAATCTACAATTCTCCGTCTCGGCGTGCGGTCAAAATTTTCAAGAGGTAATTCGGCCAATTGCGGCTGTCTTTCGACGACTTGTAAGACTATTTTGTTGAAAAGAATAATATGCACAATATGTACTTCCAGTATTTAGCAGCGTTTGCTCACACAGTTGCGGTTCTGTTCCAACCCCGGTCATAGTTTCGTTCAAACTTTCAGGCGAGTAACTTTGCGACGTGCGGAAGCATACAGTGTAACGATCGATAGTGTAGCACTATGCGCCTGGGTGTGCGCGCATTTAAAATATTTATGCAATTGCCGAAAATGGTTTCCCCAACCTTTTTTCCAAAGTTGTGGAAGAGCATTCGAATTACAGATTTAGACACTTTAGTGTTATACTGTCCGATTATTACATGTGAAGCGGCATCGTTGAGCGCTGTGATATTGTCACGACTCGCCGCCTGTAGTAATAGATCCGGGTCAACAGGGGGCGGAAGGGAGGCTGATGGAGATGAGTCGGGCCGTTGGGCCAAGGTAACCAGGTTAGCTCGTGACCAGAGATGCAGGATAACGTCACACTCCAAGCCCCTCTAGATGGTTCCAGAAGGGAGGAGTGGCTAGGGGCGGAGTGAGCCAGGAACTGGATATAAAAGCCGGACCCCTGAACGGGACCGGGAGTTGTCGTCCACTCGAAGATGAAGAAGCTGCCCTGAAGACCTAGGAGCCGGAGCCGGACCCGAGGACCTTGGCTGGGTCGGGTCAGTGTAGCCTCCCTAGACCCCGATAGCGGAGGACTCTATAAAGATTGGTCCCGAGTGTATAGGGCACGCCAGTGAAGAGGCCGTAACTCCCTAGTGTAGCGGGTGGAAGGGGTTGTACCCCTTCGTGTTCTAAATTGTTATTTGTAAAACAAACGTGTTGCTTCTAACGAGAAGTCTCCCTCTAGTTTGTACCCATGACACATGTACATTTCAACCGACTACAGTTTCCTTACGGCTGAAGAAACTGCATGCGCGTTTTTTAGAGAGCTTATAACAACGGACCGATTCAGATGATTCCATATCGCAATGTACGGAATCGAAAGATGATGCATTAGCATTCAAAAATTTCTGATTTGAGCGTTGTTGTCTGTGCAGACGATATTGATCATAATGATAAGTACAAATTAAAACATTTCTTAATGAGTGAATTGTGACCCCGAGTTGAGACAAAACCCATCGCGAGGGGTTAAAATCGTTACACTGACACTATTCGTGTCAAGCAAATACCGGGGTAAGGAGAGCACATGCATTTTGACAGAACACCTGCGATGGGTTTATGACAAGTTGTTTTGAATCTACGTACTCATTCATTCGATGTGAAAATAAAAAAAAATTGCAGAAAAGTGTACCAGCAACCCAATTGGTGCAATTACTAAATTTACTAAATGTTTTATTCATCTAAGTGTTAGCCTCTTTTCATAGAACGCAATCACCACTTGAGGACATTTCAAGTTAGCTTCTCTTGCCAAGACCAAGTCTGCTTCAGCACAGCCCTTCCTGAAATGAGACGTAAAAGCAAAAAAAACACGTTCAGTCATGTTGACACAGTAGACATTAACCAGTATGGTTAATGGATGGCCCATTTTACGCCCAGGATGCGTTGCTAAAAATCTTAACGTAAATTCTCAAGTACTTAAATCGAAGCAAAGAGATGGGATGGTGGATCTTAACATGGTACAGTATCTAAACTAACTGTTTTATCTCACCAGGTAAGGCCCAACGAGCTGTATAGCTCTTTTTCAGGAGCGACCTGGCCACAAATGATAGCTTAATCAAGTGACTTGCGTGGAAATTTATAGCAGCTAAATAACTCTAAAGACATGTTGATTCTAAATGTAGTAGGAAAAACCGGAGGACCAGGAAAAAAAATGCACATGACCACAGAGAGAACATGCAAACTCCAAATATACAAGCGCCAGGGTCGGGATTGAACCCTAGACCACCCTAAACAGAGGATGCTCAGTAAACCCATTACGATCTCGACCGTAAAACCTTTTGTCTGAAAAGTGTATATTATTGATATATTCAGATATATTAACTTGTATATTATACTGTATGTATTATTAGTTTACCGTATAAAAATAGTTTACACTTGTATAAAAAAATAGTCGCCATTAAAATGGGGGAAAAAATATTAATAGAGTACACATGAAAGATAATATAGGCAGTCTGGGACGCTAACACTTGGGTACCACCTGGGGCATGAATGTCGCTGTGAAACGTAGAAAATGTGCGTCCCAGTGGTAGTTCGTAAATCTCCAGTACGTCACAGCGAGGTACAGCGGTACGTAAAACGCGATTGGGTATCAATAAGTTGAGTACGTTACAGTGAAAGTACGTAAAACGGGAGGGAATAAATTGGGGAATTCCTGTATAATACTCCTTTATTTGGGATGTTTGGAAAAACCCACACGTATATCTTGCAAAATGAACTCACCACTTCATCAGAAACATCAACTCGCCCGTCCTCTTGGTGATGCCACAGATTTTTTCTGCCTCCAACCCACGATTAAATCCATGCACCATCTTCCCCTGAAAAAAAAAACCACACTCGTGTCATGACATCCTCAAAACGTTGCAAAAATTACCCATGTAATTTCAACGATGAAAATAACATCATACGATTGATAAAAATAAATCCTTTATAACTACGTGCAAGTCCACTGAGCTTGAAAGTAAATCACAGCAACTGAAAACAAATCGAAGGAAAATAAACAGGTAAAATAACTCAATACAAAACATAGCACAGCGAAACAATTTCACAATCCATCAGAAATGCAGAAACTCGACTCAAACGGAACGTAAATTAAGCCTGTTTTCGACGGCTAGGTTTTAAAAGCTAACGAAAAAGATACACACATATATATTTCATGTAGACACACATACCTCCACAGCCCTCCTGTACATCTGCCACTCCGTTCTCGTGGTCAGAGCTTTCGGAGGACGTCCCCTTTTCCTTTTTGGCATTTTAAGGGGCATCCCTACGGAGCGCGCCAGGGCCTCCGTGCTGGGCCGCACTCCACACTGCGTGTCCTCCCTAGGCTTGAAATCGGACGCTTCGCGCTTCACCTCCACGTCAAGCGCCTTCGAGTCCATGCGTGCGCTCGCGAATGAATCCCCTTGCTCGCCTGACGCCACGGCACTGTTTTCCTGCTGGCTGGCGGACGGTGGGCAGTCCCCCGCGTCTTTGTCAGGAGGCGAAGATTCGCACGTCTCCTCGCTTTTTTGTGAAGAGCAACTGTCGGTGACATTGTCTCCCGCAGGCAATTCCTCCTCCTTCTGAATATCTTCCTCGCTCGGCCTAAGATCTTCCAAATCCTGCTCTAAATCCCAACATGATGAATCCTCCTCTTGCTTGAATTGTTCATCCAGAAGTGAGTGACACCCATAATCTTCCGAATCTTCTGTAATGGGCAAGTTATCGTCATCGTCGTCATCATCATCGTCATCATCATCTTCTCTCTCTGCCAAGCCAAATATTTGAACGGGAGCGCCCTCATCTGCAGGCTGATCGTTGACCTGCTCCATCATTCCATCGCCCTCGTACATCTCATCTGAACTGCCATCGCTCCAGTCGATCTCTGACAAGGAATACTGGAACAAAAAGAGGCATGCACATGCAGACATTACCATCAATGGTCACATAGCAGCCAAATGAAGCAATACCGTGCATGCTTGTTAAAATGTCCATAACGCATCATAATACAGAATTGTAAGACATGCTACCTCAGTTGATAGACTCAGCGATGGACAGGGAGAAGTGGCAAGACCACCGCAGGGAGATATGGGTTAAGGAAACGGTCATGCTCAAAAAAACTAACGAGAAGATCAATAATAATATGATGGTTTTGAATGGCCAATGAAAGGCAAACATCACATATTCAGTTCTGCCATTCAGTTGCTTTGTACGAGAGTTGGTGAATTGCAGATATACCAGCTTCAAGTTTATATTCTGGGAAATACGAAGTTCTCACAATCGCAATCTCTTAGGCTTGTACGTATATTATGTATGTTGAACTTGTTTCACACCGCATGTAGCCAACTGTGCTAATCGGAGGTGTGGGAGAAGGACCACAAACTATTTTCCACTTGTCCATAGGTATCCGCATCTTCTGCGGCTTGTGTGGATCCGGTTAAGTGCTACCCATTGTTTCCGTGGAAGATGGAAGCAAGGCAATGTGGTGGCGATGATAGGGTTGATGATGAGCTGTGCATAACGGAAGCAAGGCAGTGAGGTGGTGTGTGGGGTTGCTGCTGAGCTATGTGTAACGGAAGGCGTAGTGGAAGCCAGGCAGTGTGGTGGTGACGGTGAGGTTGCTGACGAGCTGTGTGTGGTGGTAGCCGAGCAGAGCGGTGGTTGTTTGCTGGGCCCATTGCTTGAATCCCAGGAGGCTATGTAGGTGAGTGCAGTGATAAAAAATTGTTTTTATTAAATAAACAATTCTAACATTTTTTGTCAGTTCTCCAATTCTATTCCAACTGTGCTATCAGCGTCATGTAACTAGACGAAGAAATATCGATTCTAAACACCCGCACATGTGGGTTACATGTACAGCATTAGTGTCAATAAACTTCTGAATGAGAGCCTCCCCTAACGCCGCGTAATTCGTGGAGGTTATTTAACCGTACTTCACCACGCTGGTCAACGCGAGTTGGTCAAAGCGGGGCACATAAACGTCGGCGCATACAGAACCAGACACACGGTTACTTACTATAGTTCAGCAAGCTGTACCGACGTCCCACTTGAAACCCATATCTTACTTGTAACCTCTGTATAATCCACGATTTCATGTTACACTGTGTGTGCGCGCGCGCGCAGTATGCCACGAAATGCACACACACACACAGGGTGTGTGTGTGTGCATTTCGTGGCATACACACACACACACACAGGGTGTGTGTGTGTGTGTGCATTTCGTGGCATACACACACACACACACAGGGTGTGTGTGTGTGTGTGCACAGGTGGAGCAGCTATCACCTTGGGCAGTCAACCCATAACACCTGGGAGGGGGGGGGGAGGGTCTGTGCCGTGACCTAGCTAGCTCTTGTCCAGCACCAACGAACCTTCCAAACGTCACGCGATTGGCCTCAAGGTGCGGCACCTAGCCTGGCACAAGCGCCGTGGTGGTGTTGAGTGAGCGGTGGTGTCAGCTACAATGTCACACGGCAAACACAAAAGATCGCCCCGTAAAGCCTTACACGGATGGCGAGAACGGTACACGAGGGGGCTGGGTGGCCAGCACCACGCCCGGCCGCCTTTGTCTCCCCCAGTAGCGATGTTTACACACCGCGCATGGCACTCATTTGAGGCCGAGTCGACCTTAAAGGAGGGACCCAGGGACGGTGGAGATGATCGTCACCGGTGTTGGCGGGAATCTAACTCGAGTGACCGGGTTCGTAGCGCAGCGCTAACCACTACACCACCGCTCCACACCGGTACGCACCGGTGACACAAAGATAAAAGACAAAGGTGCCCCGTATAGCCTTAACAGACTGTAGGGGCAAGTGCTGCTAGCGAGCACTTATTATGGCCAGAACGGTACACGAGGGGGTGGGTGGCCAGCACCACGCCCGACCGCCTTTGTCTCCCTAGTGGCGATGTTTACACACCACGCCAAGTACTCATTTGAGGCTGAGTCGACCGAGGGGAGGCCCAGGACCGGTTCAGATAATCGTCACTGGTGTTGGCCGTGAGCGGGAATCGAACTTGGGTCGTCGGGTTCGTAGCGCAACGCACGAACCTCTCCCCACACACACACAGATACACACACAGACACACACAGACACACACACAGAAACACACACACAGACACACACAGACACACACATACACATAGACACACACAGGTACACACAGAGATACACACAGACACACACACACACAGGTACACACACAGACACACAGGTACACACAGACACACACACACACACTCACAGACACATAGATACACACACACAGGTACACATAGACACACACACAGGTACACACAGATACACACAGACACACACACACAGGTACACACACACAAGGTACACGTGTACGTACCGCACAGCAACTGGGCGAGTGTGTGTGTCTGTGTGTGTACCTGTCTGTAACCCGGCGACACGAGTTCGATTCCCGCTCACGGCCAACACGTGACGATTATCTGAACCGGTTCCGGGCCTCCCCTAGGTCGACTCAGCCTCAAATGAGTACCTCGTGCGGTGTGTAGTAAACATCGCCACTGGGGAGACAAAGGCGGTCGGGCGTGGTGCTGGCCACCCACCCCCTCGTGTACCGTTCCGGCCTTCATAGGTGCTCGCTAACAGCACTTGGCCCTACAGTCTGTTAAGGCTATACGGGGGATCTGTGTCTGTGTGTGTGTGTGTGTCTATGTGTGTGTGTGTCTGTGTGTGTGTCTGTGTGTGTTTGTCTTTGTGTGTTTGTGTGTGTGTGTCTGTGTGTGTCTGTGTGTGTGTCTGTGTGTGTGTCTGTGTGTGTGTGTCTGTGTGTGTCTGTGTGTATGTCTGTGTGTGTGTGTCTGTGTGTGTGTGTCTGTGTGTGTGTCTGTGTGTGTGTCTGTCTGTGTGTGTGTGTCTGTGTGTGTGTCTGTCTGTGTGTGTGTGACTGTGTGTGTGTGTCTGTGTGTGTCTGTGTCTGTGTGTGTGCGCACGTGCCAACCACGCCACCCCGCATGGCTCCGACTTTGCGCCTTCTTCCTCTTTCACAAGACTGGGGCCTTTATTTCTCTATTTATCTGTATTTATCTGTATTTCTGTATTTCTCTATTCATCTGTATTCATCTGTATTTCTCTATTCATCTGTATTTATCTGTATTTCTCTATTCATCTGTACACGTGTTGTGCGTTCGGCTGTCCGGCGGCATGCCCTGGAAGCGGGTCCCGAGCCTCGCATTAGGTCTACTCGGCCTTAAAACGAGCACTGCACCCCTGCGAGGTGCGTTAAGACTTCAGCACTTGGGGAGACAAAGGCGGCCGTGGCCAGGAGAGCATGTGGGGGTGTGCTCCTCGCCACACCAACCATCCACTTGGTGTGCCGTACAGCTCGCTAGCAGCACCTTGCCTCTAAGATCTTCTGTTAAAAGGCTACACGGGGGATCTTTGTTTTTGTGTACATCGCGGCACTGTAGCGTACAGTGCATTATAAATGTGTGTCCTATATGGCAATAACGACACATTGCTCGGTGTGTGTGTGTGTATCACGTGTATAGTTTAAATTATATCATCATCATCATGTCGAATCGGTCTTATCCAATGCTGGACGATTTTTGTAATTGGTATCGTGTTGTAGTGTGACAGCAACGCTGTGGGGAGTGCTGACGCCGAGAATTATAGCCACGAGCAATATTACAGCACACACACACAGACACGCACAAAGACACACAGACACACACAAAGACACACACACACAGACACACAAAGACACACACACAGACACACACACAAATACACACACACAAAGACACACAGACACACACACACACACAAAGACACACACACACAAAGACACACACACAAAGACAAAGATCCCCCATATAGCCTTAACAGACTGTAGGGGCAAGTGCTGTTAGCGAGCACACAAAGACACACACAGACACACACACAAAGACACACACAAACAGACACACACAGACACACACAAAGACACACACACAAAGACACACACAGACACACACAAAGACACACACCCACAAAGACACACACCCACAAAGACACACACAGACACACACACAGAAAGACACACACACAGACACACACACACACACAAAGACACACAGACACACACACACAGACACACAAAGACACACACACATACAAAGACACACACACAGACACACAGTAACTGCAGTGCCCTTACACTCCAGTCCCTTCGACAAAAACTCACTCTTGGGGCTGCCACCCACCCCTCTGGCTCTGGTTTCCCACTCCCCCCCTGTGAAGAACACCCCCAGACACACACAGTACTGTACCTGCCCCCCACCTCTTCATCATTCACCCATCAACACCACATTCTCCCTCTCTCCTAACCCACCACCCCCGTCGCATCATCTTAAGGGCGCGCTGCTGTTTGTTGTAGCCCCTTAAAACCCCCGTGGCCTCACCCCCCACCCCACGAGGTAGGGCCTCACCCCCTCACCCCACCAGGTAGGGCCTCACCCACCCCACCCACCCCACGAGGTAGGGCCTCACCCACCCCACCCACCCCACCAGGTAGGGCCTCACCCCCTCACCCACCCCACCAGGTAGGGCCTCACCCCCCACCCCACCAGGTAGGGCCTCACCCCCCCACCCCACCCACCCCACCCACCCCACCAGGTAGGGCCTCACCCACCCCACCCACCCCACGAGGTAGGGCCTCACCCACCCCACCCACCCCACCAGGTAGGGCCTCACCCCACCAGGTAGGGCCTCACCCCCCACCCCACCAGGTAGGGCCTCACCCCCTCACCCCACCAGGTAGGGCCTCGCCCCCCCACCCCCCCACCCCACCAGGTAGGGCCTCACCCCCCCACCCCACCAGGTAGGGCCTCGCCCCCCCACCCCACCAGGTAGGGCCTCACCCCCTCGCCCCCCCACCCCACCAGGTAGGGCCTCACCCCCTCGCCCCCCCCCCACACCCCACTAAGTAGGGCCTCACCCCCTCACCCCCCACCTCACCAGGTAGGGCCTCACCGCCCCACCCCACGAGGTAGGGCCTCACCCCCTCACCCACCCACCCCACCAGGTAGGGCCTCACCCCCCACCTCACCAGGTAGGGCCTCACCCCCCCACCCCACGAGGTAGGGCCTCACCCCCCCACCCCACGAGGTAGGGCCTCACCCCCTCACCTCCCCACCCCACCAGGTAGGGCCTCACCCCCCCCACCCCACCAGGTAGGGCCCCACCCCACCAGGTAGGGCCTCACCCCACCAGGTAGGGCCTCACCCCCTCACCCCACCAGGTAGGGCCTCACCCCCTTACCCCACCAGGTAGGGCCTCACCCCCCCACCCCACGAGGTAGGGCCTCACCCCCTCACCCCCCCACCCCACTAAGTAGGGCCTCACCCCCTCACCCCACCAGGTAGGGCCTCACCCCCCCACCCCACCAGGTAGGGCCTCACCCCCTCACCCCCCCACCCCACCAGGTAGGGCCTCACCCCCTCACCCCACCAGGTAGGGCCTCACCCCCTCACCCCCCCCACCCCACGAGGTAGGGCCTCACCTTGTACCGGCTGGGCCTCGTGGAGCGCCGTGGTGCGTGGCCGCGCGGCCGCGGTCTCCTGTCGCCGCCCGGGGCCCCGGCGTGCGCGGGGTCCCTCGACCTGCTGGGGCTCGACCCCGAGCTGAGGCCCTGCTGGTCCCGGGGTTCGGCTGCCTCCCAGTCTCCCGTGAGCTCGTTCGGCCCCAACTCCTCGTCGTTGCTGCTGCTGCTGTCGCTGCTGCTGCTGCCGCCGTTCCTCGTGGTGGTGGTTTTGCTGGTAAAGGTGGTCGCGGTGGTCGCGGTAGCGGTGGTGGCGGTGGTGGTGTGGCCGGGCCTATTGGCCTGCATCCTTTTACCCGGGTCCGTCCGGGCCTCGAGTCGTGGGCCCGACCCCTCCTTGCTCCACCAGCGCCAGCTGTAAGCTGGCGGCGGCGGCGGTGGTGGTGTTGGTGGTGTGTCGTCCTGGTCGTGGTAGTAGTGGTGGTGGTGGTGTGCTCGTGTGTGTGTGTGGGTCTGTCACCCGGAAGGAAAGAGAGGGGGGAGGAGTTGAAATGCCGGAGACAGCACAGCGACACCAAGCCAAGCCGCTGGCTCACTGCACGCTCGCCAACATTCACACTGCACACACACACACAGATTCACACTGCACACACACAGATTCACACTGCACACACACACACACAGATTCACACTGCACACACACAGATTCACACTGCACACACACACAGATTCACACTGCACAAACGCAGATTTACACTGCACACACACAGATTCACTCTGCACGCACACAGATTCACTCTGCACGCACCAAGATTCACTCTGCACACACACAGATTCACTCTGCACGCACACACAGATTCACACTACACACACACAGATTCACTCTGCACGCACACAGATTCACTCTGCACGCACGCAGATTCACTCTGCACACACACAGATTCACTCTGCACGCACACACAGATTCACTCTGCACGCACGCAGATTCACTCTGCACACACACAGATTCACTCTGCACGCACACACAGATTCACTCTGCACACACACACAGCTTGCATTGCACACACGCAGATTCACTCTGTACACACGCAGGTTCACACTGGACACACGCAGATTCACTCTGCACACACACACACAGATTCACTCTGCACACACACACAGCTTGCATTGCACACACGCAGATTCACTCTGTACACACGCAGGTTCACACTGGACACACGCAGACTCATTCTGCACACACGCAGATTCACTCTGCACACACACAGATTCACTCTGCACACACGCAGATTCACTCTGCACACACGCAGATTCACACTACACACACACAGATTCACACTGCACACACACAGATTCACACTGCACACACACACAGCTTGCACTGCACACACACAGCTTGTATTGCACGCACGCAGATTCACACTGCACACACACAGATTCACACTACACACACACACACACAGATTCACACTGCACACACACAGCTTGCATTGCACACACACACACAGCTTGCATTACACGCACACAGATTCACTCTGCACGCACCAAGATTCACACTGCACACACGCTGATTCACTCTGCACACACGGAGATTCACTCTGCACAGACACACAGATTCACTCTGCGCACACGCTGATTCACACTGCACACACGCTGATTCACTCTGCGCACACGCTGATTCACACTGCACGCACCAAGATTCACTCTGCTCAGACACACAGATTAACTCTGCACACACGCAGATTCACACTGCACACACGCAGATTCACTCTGCACACACACAGAGATTCACTCTGCACCCGCAGATTGACGTTGCACACTAAAACAGGTTCATTCTGCACACACACACACATTCACACTGCACTCAGACGCGCAGGCTGCAGACATATTCACACTGCACACACACACACACAGATTCACACTGCACGCACACTCCTTTCACACAGATTGCACTCCACACACACATAGATTTACTCTGCACCCGCATATCCACACTGCACGGACACAGGCTGCAGTCAGATTCACACTGCACGCACAGATTGCACTGCAAACACATTCACTCTGCATCAGCAGATGTACACTGCATGCACATATGCACACTGCACACACACACATGCACAAGGCTTGCACTGCACGCATGCACACGGCTTGCAATGCACACACACACACATATCCACTCTGCACGCACACAGATTCACTCTGCACGCACTCAAATGCACACTTAACACACGGCTACACGTAATGCACGTACACCACTACACACACAGATAGTCTGCAGTCGGTCCTGCACCCAGCGACACCCTGCACAATGCACAGATGCACGCTGCGCACACAGAGACGTCTCTTGCACACTGGACAAATGCAGACCACTGCAACCAGCGCCACACAGCACACACTAAGTGCAAGCAATTCAACAAATTAATTGCAAATTACTGTGCCCTGCACACCTGCACCAGCAGCGAGACCAAGCACGTGCTGCACAGAGAATGCATAGAGCGCGCCCTGGCTTACATATATTGCACTACACTAGTGGTGGAGCCTCAAGGTGGTACACGCTTCACCCTGCACTAAGCGAGACCCTACATCCTCTGCAGCTATGAAGGCCGGCACGGCACACGAGGGGGTAGGTGGCCAGCACCACGCCCGGCCGCCTTTGTCTCCCGAGTGGTGATGTTTAAACAACCGCACCAGGTACTCATTTGAGGCTGAGTCGACCTAGGGGATGCCCATGACTGGTTCACATGATCATCACCAGTGTTGGCTGTGAGTGGGAATCCAACTCGGGTCGCCGCTGCACCAACTGCACACAGAGACGAGAAATGAGACACAATAAACAGACGCCTATTTGTATCTCCACGTAAAAGTAATATAATTTAAATAAACTGGAATCAACGTTCTCGCAGAGGGAAGGGCCTTGCCTCAAGCACGCGTTTAGAGTATTTGGTTGCTGCTTTCAATTTCAACATGATGAGCCACTTCGTTGAGCTATCATTTGTGGCCAGGTCGCTTCTGAAAACGAGCTATATAGCTTAGTGGGCCTACCCCTTGGTAAAATAAACATCGTTTATAGTTTATCGTTTGGTCACAAACATTTGGCAGTTTTCCCGCATTTGTTAGAAGCGAGCCTGGCTGAATGTCGAAACTCTGGACATTGAATGTCGAAACGGGTACAGAGTTTTTTTTTTCTTCCTAGATTTGTAGTTTTCGTGACTGTAAGGATCCATACTCTTTGGTTCTTTCGGTAAAGTCACGTAGGAAAAATAAAGAAATAAGAAGTTAAATAAAATAAAACAAAAATTAAACGTCGTGATTTAATTTAGTTGTTTTAATTTTCGCTTTATTTTATTTAAAATTTTATTAAATTTTTACTTACGTGACTTTACCGAAAGAACTGAAGAGTACCATCCAGACTTTGTTTGTGCTGTACTTAACCAATGCTGAAGAAATTGTTTTTAAGAATATTTATTTGATTATAATTTCTCACTGTTGTTCCACCCACACGCGTTGTCACCTGAGACTGAGAAATGTGGAGGTGGATTTCGTTTTCTTCTTAGCCTGCAGCTCCGAGCTGCCACCGTTACACCCACGGCGACGAACAACTGTGAATTACGTGAGATGTTAGTATATATCCTGTTATCCCTAACACGCAGGTCGTGACACTGCCAAGAGCTCCCCTGACCCCACACCACCATCACCACCACGATCCATGACCAGAAAGTCCGTAGGTGTTCACTACATATTTAGTTATTTGTTTCCACTTTCCTCTGTCTTGTGCCAATATTCTCACGTAGTGGCCACGTCTCTCTGGGCCCAATCTTTTCATGTCGTCGTCTGTTAGGTCTTTCTCTCTTTCCGCTTCCTTCCATTATTCCGAACAACACACTATTCATTTGTGATACTCCGACTGATGCTCCTGTTGTTTGTGGAGTGACTCATGCAGCCAGGTGTGGCTCTAGGGTTTGGTGTTACATGTTATTTATTTAGTTTATTGTTAAAAATTCGGTCACAGTCCCTATGATCACTGTTACATTGCATTTATGGCTTTTATTTTGGTGATTTCTAAAAGTTTTTTGGTTTGGCCATGTTTTTGTTTATTGTAGTACGGAGTTAGACTGATGGCCTTAATCTAAGTTTTCTTGTTGTTTGACTTGCATCCCACTGGGATTTTTGCACACAACGTTGGTGTACGGTCCTATTTCAGGAATAGTTTGATGTTTTTTTCCTGGATTGTCTGTTTGCACAGTCACATAGTCAATTTAAGATGTTTTCTTGTTCATGTTTTTTTGTTTGTTGCGGTTGCACCCGATTCAAGAGCCGAATGGCTCACAGGGCTATACCAAATAAATGAAACTATGAAACTATTTCAAGTTGTTCTCCATCCTATATATTTGTCCAGATAATGCAAGTTTCCTTCTCATCACTGCCTGCATCATCAAATCTTCTATGTGCTAAAATTATCTAACTTCTACGTTGGGTCCAGCTTAGATGCAGTATCCTTCTGTAGCAATACATTTCGAATGCCAATATCTGATCTCCGTCAGTCTTTTTTTAAGGATCCAAGTCTCGCAGGCATACAAAGCTGTACTGGACATGCATGTTCTTAAGGTGTTCAGTCTGAGTGCTAAGTAAACCTCGACTGTGAATGCCATCGCTGACCAGCAGATGGCGCTGCTGCCGTGCCGGACAGCAACGAGACCTTGGTGCGAACGCAGGGGCGTCCGTGTTGTTGGCCACTTAGATGGAAGATTCCCCATTCTCATGGCGGGCGTCAGTCTATCCACGTTAACAGGAAAGTTTTCGCAAAGTGGTGCTCTCCTTCATTGCATGGATGGGCGGTGCAATGGTAATGTTCGCGTCTCACAGCACGGAGTGCCTGGGTTCGATGCCTGACTCGGGCGCCTTGCTGGGTGGAGTTTGTACTTCTCCCCCTGTTTCGCATGGATTTCGTCCGGTTTCTCCTGTTTCATGCAGTCCTGGTATTGGTCACACATCACAATGCATCACAAATTCCCTGAAAATGGCCCCAATCAGCATGACAGCAACATCGCTTCTTCAAAAACTTGGCAGGACCCTCCTGAAAAGGAATCTTGAGGCTCAGCGAGGCCTTTCCTGGTTTAAACAAGAGAAACATATTTGATCGACCCCTTGAGTCTGATGGACTGAGTTGACCTCCGACCGAGAATTGTAACTCTCAGCCTTTTTGTGAGCAGTTCACAGATTGAAACTCGAGACGTTCGTGAGCGTTTCGTTGGAGGTCAACGGAGGTTATCTTCGGGATGGACTGACCCTCGCCACGGGAACGTGGAATTTCCGCCACTAGCTCGCGACGACAGATGAACATTAACAACCGCAGCATTGAATTTGTGGGAAAAACACTGTCGGCAAGAGTTGTCATGACACTTACAAACTCGGTGTGATGCTAAAGTGACGGATATATTTATTTTTTGACGTTGAAAAACACTTATTTAGTATCTGCAGTTTGTACTTCAACAAAAAAGTTTAAATGTAGATTGAA